CTAGGGAGCTCCACCATCCTCTGAGTCACAGGCCACCTAGGAGCAGGTCAAGTGACGAGGTACTTAGCCAAAAAATTGGTACATCTGAAAAAATTGGTAGGTGACCAGAAACGGTTACATCACTTTGTATCATTTAAATTTAAATGAAATAAAATTCCTATTTTTCTTCCAATTTGTTATTCATTTTGAGTATTTGTCTCTTTGACTTCTTATTTGGTTAAGTATTTTTTTATTTCTTTGTTAGATTTCTTATTTTTCAAATAGTTCCCAAAGGAARGTTAAATATTTTAGTTTTACTCAGCAAAGAAATAAAAAAATGTCAAAAAAAAAACAAAAAACAAAAAAAAACAATCTGGCCCGGTTTGGCCCACGGCCCACGCCTAAGGCCCGACATGTGGCCCAACCTAGCATGGCCTGAAACCCACCTGGCCCAGGCCCATGGCAAGACACGGGCCTGCACAGGCTTGGGCCGTGGGCCATGTCGGGCTGACCCCCCAAATTATCCCTAGGGAGGGCAACACAACCCACACTTTGCGTAGGCCGCAAGCGGGTGGTGTCATGCCGACCTGGCACGACCCGTTTTACACCTCTAGAACTGATTCCTTCACCATGTCATTAAGCACCTCCATTGTGCCCTTAGTATGCCTCCAGAGTGTCATCATGTGTATCATGGGTGAGCTATGTATATATTTTGTATGGGGATTTCCAATGGCATTATTATAATTATTTAGTATGAATTTTCATCATTTTGATGTTTCTTCCTGTCACTCCCGCAAAAGTTTAATTTACTTTTTGATAAGAGGTAGGTAGTTGATCGGTGCCAAGACCGTATAAAGGTTAAGTACGAGGTCCCTCGACACAAACTTGTATGCTTGTGCTTACCATTTTAATGCAATATAGAGTGCTCTTTTGACTAATTTGTGTGCCTTTTTATTGCTTGCATTCATAGGTTTATTCGACCCAATTGAATGCCACACGGAGCCTCGTCGATTAGCCCTTTATCTATTTTCTCTATTTTTTGTATTTTTTTATTTTCTTTTGTTTTAAAAAATATAAAAAAGTAATCATTGTCTATTTTGATTGGATCAATAAAGCTGTACATTATGAGAGAGAGAGAGAGAGATTTGGGTTTTCCAAGGCCTCTTATTTTAAGGCATATTATTATAATATTTTATTAACAGTATTTTATTACAAAAAGTTACTGAATAATAATGAAAAAATACCAATAATTAATTAAAAATAAGAAATTTAAATATAAAAATATCAATTAATAGCTTTAGTAATATTCTTAAATAACAATTATTAAAATTTTAGATATTAACAATAACTTTGAATACTTTTAGTTGATTAACAATAAAATTTGATTATTAATTAATAGTAAATAAAATTATTAAATCTTTCAGATTTTGTTGTGCATCGCACGGGTTCCCGCTAGTTGAAAAATAAAAACATATAATAATTTGTTGAACGTATAATAATAAAACCATATAACAAAAACATATAATGTATCGCACGGGTCCCCACTAGTTGAAAAATAAAAACATATAATAATTTGTCGAACCTATAATAATAAAACCATAAACAAAAACATATAACATTTTGGCAAAACAAAGAAAAACAACCAACATTTTAGCCGAAGAACTTTATGGTCTTCTTTATTTTGTTTTTTTAATAGCAACTTGATTTTAATTTTTATCCGAGACTCTTTGCTCAATAGGCTTAAAAAAAGAACCGGCAAAAGACCTAAGCACACCACTGGGTTTTGATTAATCGACTAAAACATACCCTGAATTTTGCAAAAAGAATTATACATGCTTACGGATTAAACAAAAGAACAAATTTACGCTTTTCTAAAAGTCAAAGGAAGTCTTCTATTCTTACTCCACTATCTTGTGTTGTCCCTGGTAACTAACTCGTAAGAGCCGCCGGAGCAGAGAAGTGGACTGCTGCTTTCTGGCATGCATACCAATCCC